TATGTATACGTATAGCTGCTTCACTTGGTTGTACAGCAGAAACCAACACAACATTGTAAGGCAACTATACTCCAATAAGAAATAATTTTTTTTTAATGGCTTAAGAAAGTTCTCTAATCAGAGAAGGAAACAAAAGAAGAAAGTCTGGAACTTCAGGAAAACAAAGAACATCAGAATGGGCAAAATTGATGGTTGAAGCAAAAATTATTACACCATCTGACATGGTGTGCAACGCACATAGGGGAAACACCTAAAACTATATTTAGGGTTGGCCAAAAAGTTCGTTCAGGCATTTCACATTACAGAAAAACCCAAATGAACTTTTTGGCCTATCCAATATTTAAAGAGAGAGAAGGGCAAAGATGCCCAAATGTAGCATGGTTTCTACATTTCTATCAAAATGGTATAACACTGATATCAGTAGAAAACTTAACTATTTGTAATATATATCTATTTTTGATTATTTATGTACACATCCCCCAGTAGACTGTAAATCCCAGGAAAGTGGGGACCATGACTGGTTTTGCTCACCATTACATCTCCAGCATCTAGTCTAGTAGGTGTTCAATAATTCTGTGATGAATGAGTGAAGAAATGTGGCAAGTCCAGAGCTCAGAGTTCTGGTTCCACTGGTGCTGCCTGTGTGACCTTGGACAGAGAATTATATTTCCACTGAGTCTCAGATACCACGTTTGGAAGAGGGTCTTCAACAAGATGGTGACTAAGTGTTCATCCACTTTAGACTTCTAATCTCTTTAAATACAAGAAAAGAAACAAAAGATGTCAAGATTAGAAGATGGACCAGTAGGGTGCTGGAGGAGAGGCAGTGGCAGAGGGTGGTGGGCTGAGCATCCCCAGGAAATGGCAGGAATAACTCCTGGGAGAAGTGTGATCTGTCTGCAGCCTTTGGAAAAATTGTGAAGGGAAGGAAGTTTCTCATTGAAAACCTCTATTTTCTTTCTGTATCCCTTTCTTAAGTCCCCACACCTACCACCATCAACATGACCATGCCAATAACTCCAGCAAATCAGTGTCATCACGCTTCCCATTCTGTTCTGCCTCTAAGAAAATGCTGGAATAAACACATTCACGTGTAAGTGCAGTTTTAGGAACTTTCTAACACTTTGCTGCCATCAGGGTTTACATTTTCCAACTTAGCCTCTTTGGGGGAATGTTTAACTCATATAAATTAAATGATAAAGATTGATCTTTGGGCAAGGTGGGGACTTTTTGTAGTGGTCAAAGGGAGACTTTCATAAAGCTCCTCAAATCCCATGCATAGGTGCCACACTCCACTGGCTTCACCTCAGTACCTGGCTCCTAGGAGCGTCAGGAAAATTCAAGTGCACAAACCCAGTTCCTACATACCACTTTGTCATCAAAATCATCAGTTATGTACCCTACATCTCAAGGCTGGGGCTCCGGTGAGGCATGTGAGGCATTCACCTTGGGAGCAAAATAAGGGGATACCAAAATGCTTAGTAATCAAGATAATATTCTAATGTAACACTTTAAATTCAAAATTAATGCGAAAAAATCCATGATGAACAAGATATCAAATTTTTAATGAGCCAACATCAGTATTGTTGAGTTTTTTCTTTTGCTTCAGGCTCCAATGTGGCTCGGCTAGGCACTTCCTTGACTCTCACTCCCTTCCATTCTGATGAAATGCAACTGTGAGTGCACATAATGAAATGTGCCAAGGAGGCAGCTTGTGCTGATTGCTGATTGCATCACTGTGCGCTGGGGTGGGGGAGTTAGGAAAGCACCCAGGGCTCAGGCCAGGGGAGCAGCCATCCAGGAACGGCATGGAGCCCTCAGAATGCATCCTGGAGGGAGGCTCCCAAAGCTCAAGAAAGAGGCTCTCACTGGAGCACAGACTCTCTGTTGAAACCATTACCTGTCTGCACACAGAAATATCAGAGCCATGTAGAGGGTTTTCACATTTCTCCAGGCACCCATTCAGCCCTGCATACTGAAGATGGGCTCTCTACCATGAAACAGTGAAATCCTCCATTTCCTGTTCTACCAAACATCCCTGTCCTGATAAAGTCCACAGACAAACACAATATTGGTTGTTTTCCATCATGCTCGGAGCAAATGCAGGGAGGGGGAACAAAGAGAGCTATTTCTCTTTGCTGAGCGCTGAGAGAACATGATAAATGATGAAAATGATGACAAGTAAGGATCTGTGCTCTGAAAGACTTTTAGTGAGTCGTGAAGACCTCCCACACACACTGTCCCCAAGGGGCAGTGGAGGTGGGGATGAGAGGCATCTCATCAGTGCCGTTAGTGAGTCAGGCTGCTGTCAAGGCTACAGCCCTCCTCCGCTAACGTAGGCAGGGGGAGAATGCCAAAGGAGAAATGCTCCTTACCTTAAGTGAATGGGAGGATATTTTTGGAATGGAAATCAATCGTTTTTGAAAATAGATGATGGAAAGGGGCCACTCTTGAACCGAGTACCATACTGCGTAACAGCTGTGGCCAGCCAGACAACGCAAGCTGAATGATGTTGGGGAAGGCAGGCAGGGGTGACCTCAGACATCCAGTAGGTGATATCACTCCACTCCTAGTGCCTCGGCATCACTGCGCTCCAGCTGCAACGCCAGTATCCATCCTAGGCCATCTCCATTGACCTTTGGTTAGACATTGAGGACTAAGTTTAGCAATGATCATCTATCATATTATTTTTCCATTTTACTAGAAGATTCTTGGTTAATAAGAGTTTAAAGGAATCCCTAAAGGTAATGTATTAGGCATTTGTGGTAGGCAGTAGGTAGATATTCCATGGCTGGAGATCCTGTGAAATGTACAGGACACTGGAAATGTCCATATACCAGATAGTGAGCTCAAAACAGTTAAACAGCAAAACTTAAGGTTAACTCACTGCCTGGCTTCTGCTCCAGTGTATTTGCATCAGAGATATAGAAAGTGAGAGACTGGAAACACTCCCAGAGGACAAGGCTTGCTTAGTACATGGAGGCCTTTGCTCTCGCTATTCCCTCTTTGGAATATTTTCCCCCATATCTCCCCCTGGTCGCCCCTGCCCCCACCACTTACCTCCAATATGTTCACATCCTAATTCCCAGAAACAGAGTATGTTAGGTTTCACAGCATGGAGAAATAAAATGGAACTAAGGTTGCTAAACAGATGACTTTGAGGTGGGGAGATAATCCTGGATTATCCAGGTAGGCCCAATGTAATCACAAGCGTCCTTCTAAGTAGAAGGGGCAGGCAGAAGGCAGGCAGAGAAGGGGGCAGAAGAGTCAGTGAGATCCAATGTGAGATGTTGCTACCTATGAAGATGAAGATAAGGGAATACGAGTTAAGGAACGTGGGTAGCCCCTAAAATTCGGAAAAGGCCAGGAAACTGATTCTCCTCTAGAGCCTCTAGAAGGAATGCAGCCATACCAACACCTAGCTTTTAACCCAGTAAGTCCCACTTTGGACTTCTGAGCACAAAATCTATAAGATAATAAATTTGTGGTTTTAAGGCACTGTAGTAATTTGTTACGGCAGCAGTAGAAAACTAATATAACTCCTTATCATTTGAGCTAAGCTCAAATGTCATCTTCTTAAAGAGACTTTTCTTGACATCTCTCACCTGCTAAAGGATTTCCCCATGCCCAAGCATTCTCTATAACACACTTTTATTTTCGTCTGCTAATGACTGTCTAAAATTATTTTATGTGTTTATTCCTCCTTCCTCACAAGAATGTAAGTTCTAGGAGGGCAGGGACTTTGTTGCTCTTTTCACATATTATCTCCATTGCTTTGGATAGCACTACATGGTGGACATTTCAAAAACACCTGCAGTGACAAAGTGAGAGAGTGGCATGGACATATATACACTACCAAACGTAAAATAGCTAGCTAGTGGGAAGCAGCCGCATAGCACAGGGAGATCAGCTCGGTGCTTTGTGACCACCTAGAGGGGTGGGATAGGGAGGGTGGGAGGGAGGGAGATGCAAGAGTGAAGAGATATGGGAACAGATGTTCATATGTTCATATGAACATATGATTCACTTTGTTATAAAGGAGAAACTAACACACCATTGTAAAGCAATTATACTCCAATAAGGATGTAAAAAAAAAAAAAACACCTGCAGTGTGAATAAGCCTTAAGCTAATGAGGACCACAACACTCTTGCCACTGCTCAATCACAAAAGGCAGCTGTTAAAAAGAGTCCCATGCCCAGTAGGTCCTGTGTTGCAAGGAACTACCCAATTCAAAACAGGAATAGAAACAGAAACAGCAAGTAGAAATTTCCAAGTAGGCAATCAGTTGCTTAATTTTAGGTGGCGGAGGCAAAAAGTTTGAAGAGTAAGCACTATCCCTGGGCAACAGTAAACCAGAGTCTTCTGTGAGTGCCAAGAAGTAACCAGTTGGGAACGACCAGAAAGCTGTGAAAAGATATGTAATTAACTCAGGTTGCCTAAATAATTGTGCAATTACAATTCATAAGGGATCACATGTAAAAATACCTCATAACATAGGACAAAAGAATAGGTGAGTAAAAAAAGGATAAATAGTGAGGTTATTTTCTTTTTATATTGATGGGTCAATTCTTTAACGGAGATTCTTAAGATTACCAGGTTTTGCTAAAGACTGCAGTACTGATAATCTCCCCAGTTTTCCACTCTGAAATAAGCAGACCTGGTTCCTAAAAAGATACCCACAGAAAAGGCTGGCTGCCGGGGACGCAGGATCCGCCTGACCCAGTGAGGTAGGCGGTGCTGTCATGTCTTCCAGCCCCAAGTGTCAACACCCCGGAAGAGGCCTCCAGGCTTTGTGCCCAACCAGCTGGGGCTCGCCTAGAGCCGCGCCCAGATCCATAGTGCCACCCGCCCTACGCAGAGCGGACTCTGACCAGAACAAAGCCAAGAGTAACTGGCCCGAGGGCCCTACGCTCAGCCAGCCAATGGCCATGGAAGTGGGGCGGGACCACGGGGTACCGGGCCAATACGATGCGGCAGGGTTGGAGCTCTAGCCGGGTCCCGGGGCGGTGGGATTTCGCAGCCCCAGCCCGGGCCATGTGGGAGCCTCACGGTGCTGAGGCATTCGCGGCGGCCCTCGGAGGCGCCCTCTTCCTGCTGCTCTTCGCGCTGGGGGTCCGCCAGCTGCTGAAGCAGAGACGGCCGTCGGGCTTCCCCCCGGGACCGTCGGGGCTGCCATTTATCGGCAACATCTACTCGTTGGGCGCCTCGGCCGAGCTCCCCCACGTCTACATGAAAAAGCAGAGCCAGGTGTACGGCGAGGTACAGCCGACGGGCCTCGGGCAGGGAAAGCTCGGGCCTTCCTCCCGGGGTGAGGGGATGTCCCACGCTCGTGGGTGCGAGCTGTCTGACACCTCTCCGTGTGTCAGCAGCGTGGAGGGGAAGCTGGCTTCCCAGGCCCGGGGTCGAGGTACTCAAGCGGCGCCGCTGGGGGAGGGAGAGCCCCGCCAAGCCGCGAGCCCCTCCCACCTGACGCTCTCGGGATACTGGCCGGATTCTTCCGCCCCAGAGGGCGACTAGGTGCCGCTCCCGCGCCTGCGCAGTGGGGCCTGGGTCCCGCGCCGCCTGCCCGGTCAGGAGTGACGGGCGTAACCCTCAGCGCGACCAGCTTCTGGCGCCCACGGAGCTGCACGAAGTGCGTAGGTTAGCTTCCACCCACGGCTTCGCGAGAAAACCAGGCGTCCGAATTCTAGGACCGAGTTAATGGTTAATAGGAGGTCGTTGGATGTTTGCGATTGGGAACGGCTGGTCTAGGCGTCTGCCGAGAGGCTGAGAGAGCGCAGGTGAAGGCCTCTGGGAAATGACCGTGAAAGAGAGAATGAACTAATGAGTGAAAATCAGTGCGGAGTCGCAGTGCCGTCCTGTGTGCCCGGAGCCGGGAGCGTCCCCGCAGCAAACACGGAGACTGCGCCGGCCGTGGGCCAGCCTCCCTTGCAGTGCGGGGCGCCCGGGGGCAGGTCCTGTGGTCCTCCCCGTTTTACAGAGGAGGAAACTGCGGCACAGACCAGCTGAGTGACTTGCAGGCAGCCACGCCGCTGCGAACTAACAGGGGAAAGGCCAAAACGCTAGCTTGTGTTTGGAAGGGTGTCGTGACCTCGAGGAGGCAGAAGTTTCCAGAACACTGGCACTAACCCGGCTCACTTGTTACCTTTTGAATCCATTCTTTTATAGGAAACGACCAGCCAGGCTCTGCCAGGTGCTGGGATTAGAGAGGTGAAGAAGGCAGTCAAAGCCCAATTTTAGGTAATTACAGTCTAGCCAGAGAAAAAAATTAATCTAACGATCGACCACAAATTGTGTTTTGAAGGAAAAGTACCGCAGGGCTGTCTGGCAATTGCGGTGTTTCAGGTTTGGGCTTACATCCGTATTTAAACCAGCTTTTACAATTATTATTCTAGATTTCTGCAGTTCCCTGATGGTGTATGTCGCTAAAGGGAGGCTGGGCTTAGATAAAACAAATTGTGTAATTCTTAGATACCATTTTCCACCCTCCAGTTCTCAGGAATTGAGTGTATTTCCATGATTTCTATTGAATATATTTGATCTCTGGTGTACAAAGCATCATTAATATTTAGAGAAATCATAAGATGTGAAAGCGCAAGACAAGAGGTTGAGTCCTCTTTCGTCAGGTAAAACTTGACCTTTGTCTGAATCTTAAGTTTTCGCGATATGCGTAATGGTAATAATAATAACTGAACACAGTTAAGTGCTACTCAAATGTTCTTTGAGTAAATGTTAGTTATTAATTACAGAACAACTTACTAGGCCTACAAAGTAGAAAGTGTTTTTAGACCAGTTATGTGAAATGGTGTCATGCAGAATAGGAAATTGTTTTTCATACGTGGATATTTGAACTGAAAGGAACTCTGTATTTACTATGAACATTCTTTTGGGAGAGGGGTAATTTAGTCTTATAATAGACTGCAAATTATAAACGTGTTGGAAGACTGTCATCTTGGCATAGGTAGATCTGGTACATTGGATAAGAATTTGGCATGAGTAACCAGTTTTATTGCTGGTACAACTATATATTTGAGGCAACCTTGGTTCTTTACGAAGAGGTGTTTTTACTGAAGGTGGTAAAATTAAATAGGGCTAACCTGTGCTGTTAGGTAGAAGAGGAGCAGAGGAAAAAGAAAAAGGAGCAGAAATGGAAAGGATGTATGCATTGAAGAGTAGACATGGTTTGAGTAACTCTGTTTTAGACTTAAGTTGAAAACCACCTAATGTATTAACCCTTTAAGCTACTTGCTCTTTATCTTAGTTGTGAAACACCCCTACAGTCCTCCCATTGTCTCAGAGGTATTTTCCAATTCTGACAAAGTCTCAAAGTTGGTATTGTTGCAGGAAGGGGGACCCCTTCCAGGGCCCCAAAGTGGGCTCTTGTCTAACACTAAGAAATGAATTGTCTGAGGAGACATACGTGCTGACAAAGCAAGGACTTTATTGGAAAGGGGTGCCTGGGTGGAGAGCAGGAGGGTAAGGGAACCCAGGAGAACTGCTCTGCCATGTGGCTCGCAGTGTCGGGTTCTATGGTGATGGGATTAGTTTCTGGGTTGTCTCTGGCTAATCATTCTGACTCAGGTTCCTTTCTGGTGGGCGCGCAACTGCTCAGCCAAGATGGATTCCAGCGAGGAGGATTCTGGGAGGTTGGTAGCACATGTGGACTGGCATCTCCTCTCTCCGTTTGACCTTTCCTGTATTCTTCCGGTTGGTGGCTTGTTAGTTCTATGTTCCTTACCAGGATCTCCTGTCATAAAATAACTCATGCAAATGGTTACTGTCTTTGCCTAGCCAGGGCAGGCAGTTTCAGTCAGTGTTTCCGCTAACAGTATGAGTTGTTAAAATACTATGCCTTTTTTGGAAGTGGAAGGAAACTATTATCTCCTGTACTTCTAGAAGGTTGTGGAAAGTTGTTTATATGTCGTACTTATAAATATAGAATCTTATTTTTCCACTGTCTTACGTGATGATCTGGAGTGTGTGCTCAGAGAAAGCAAGCCCTGGACTTTAAAATTGCTTATAAGAAATGACAGTCACTTCAAGTGACACCTACTTTTATGAAGTCTGTGAATTCAATTCTCCTTCATAATTCTTGAAAGGAAGACAACCGGTGCTCAAGACTTATACAGTCATTTTAAAGACAATCTTACATAGAAATGTATCACACTTGAGACTTAGCATTTCCTTGGAGATTCACTCTGAATGTGTAAGCTTCTGCAGTGACTAATCTTAACCCAGATTTTGAGAAGCATTCCCTAGCTAGCAAAGATAGCACAAGGAGTTTTTACAGATTATTTTCAGGTAATGCACGTAAGGATAATAAAATAATTAATTTGAGGCATGTGGAGTTGACAGCCTATAATTTATTTTTACAGTAAGCGTTTATTGAGATTTAAGCAAGGCATTGAATGAGATTCTGTGGAGTGTTCAAAGATGAAAGAGATGAAATCACTGAATCTAAAGAGTTTATAATTTAGCAGGCAAGCAGAAGACAGGAATATGAATGCTTCTGGTTTTAGGTAGTATTAAATAAGTGCCATGGGAGCTTCTAAGCGTGTGCTGTGGTGGTTCAAGGGAGAAAGAGAAAGACAGTGCACCGAGAAAGGCTACTTGGTGGGGTTTGGATGGTATGGCAGTCAAGGGAGGCATTCCAAATGAGAATACAGCCCAAGCAAATGTTGAAAAGTGTGTGGCAGTTATTTATCAGTTTTCATCAACAGCACTTTTTACATTCCTCTGTTATTAGCACTTAGCCCATAGTGTTGTAATAATATGCTTAAATGTGTGTCTCCCCCACTATTCTTTAATTCAGCATATATTTATCAGTTGTTATCATATGCTATGTATTAATACTATCCTAGATGTGAAGATTTAACAATGAACAAAACAGGTGAAAATCCCTGCCCTCATGTAGCTTACACTCTACCAGTGGAGGGGAGGCGGGGAGCAGGATAGGGACATATAAACACAATAAATATATAATATGTTAGAGTACAGAGTAAGAAGTAAACTAAATTAGGGTAAGGAAAATGGAGAATGCTAGGGGGTGAAATTTAAATGGGTTAGAGCAGCCCTCACTGTAAAAAAGACATCTGAGCAAATATTTCATTGAAGTGAAGGAGCAAGGTATGAGAGTATCTAGGGGAAGAACATTCCAGGCCAAGGGAACAAGTACAAAGGCCATGAAGCAGGAGTATGCCATGTTGAGAATCACTTATAAAGAGACAACAGGCTGTTGAGATAACATAGGGGAGAAATGAAGGATTAGAGTGTTAGTGACGGAAGTGGTAAGAAATTCTCATATTCTGTCTGTATTGTTAAAGTTGAAGCATCGTGACTGCTAAGCAGTGATGTGGGGCTTGGGTGAAAAATGGAGTCAACATGGGCAGCTCAGGACTTCCCTGGCAGTCTGGTGGTTAAGAATCCGAGCTTCCACTGCAGGGGGTGCAGGTTCAATCCCTGATCAGGGAACTGAAATCCCGCGTGCTGCAGTGTGGCCAAAAAAAACCCCAAAAAACAAAAACCATGGGCAGCTCATGGGCAGTTTGGGACCAGAATATAGCTTGAAGGATGACTGGAATGGTCATTAGCTGAGATAGTGAAAAATCGTGGGTAGAGCTAGTTTGGGCAAGAGACTTGAAGATCATAGACTGACTTCTAGAAGGTGTTTCATGTGTACCTGTTTCCATCTTTGCCAGCATCATAACTACCCCATAATAATAATAAAAATTATTGAATAAATTTAAAAATATATAAAACTAATCTTGGACCCTTCCATAGATTAAAGCAGCATAAGGATGAATTTTCACAATTTGATTTACAGACTTCTACCAAAAGTCCTTGAAAAGAGCATGTACCTGAATAGATGCTAGTTCAAGTAACAGTTTCCCCAGTTTTCACCATCAAATAGAGGACCATCTCATTTTTGAGTAAAGGTGGATTGTATAACAATTTTCTCAAGTTATGGCTCCTAGTTGTTTTTTGTAATCTCTAGTGTCCACAACCTGACAGCATTACCCTGAAATTAACTCCCCTGTTTGTTCTGCCTTCCTATTAACAGAATTTGTGATCCCATCTTTGTGAAATCAATCACAAAGTTGATTTAATCACAAAGTTGGGGATTTTTTTCCTGCATCAGGACCACTGCCTATTCACTAATACCCTTCGTTATTGTCTCTGCTTGTGATACTGTGATTTTTTAATAAATGTGTATTTGGTCTTTGTACCTTTCCTGGCACAAGCTCCCAAAACCCTTGGAACTTCCTAAGTGTTGAGAGTGGTAGATGCATCTTTTGTTATTCATAATAAGCCCCTTTCACCCACCTCAGAGTTTATGTTAATGTTAATGGAAAGCCCTTTAGGATGGGAGCTTGTTGCCTGGAGAACCAACCAGGATTAAAGGGTTGGAACTTTCAGTTCTACTCATCTTACCTCTGGGGAAGGGAGAGGGGCTGGAGGTTGAGTCAGTCACCAGTGACCAATGATTTGATCAATCATGCCTAGGTAATAAAGCCTCCATAAAAATCCCTGAATTATAGGGCTCTGAGAGCTTCCATGGTGAATTGGTGAACACGTGGAGGTGAGCAGAGGCTAGCATGCCTGGAGAGAGCATGGAAACAGTACTCCCCTTTCCTCATACCTTGCTGTTGGGCTGCATCCCGCAGGCCAGCAAGGCCTGTACTTGCCCAGCTTCAAGACTGAAGAAAGAGCCCGGAGTCAGCAACAGAGACATCAATGGATAGGGATCTTACATATCTGAAGCAAGGTCCTGGAGCGATACCCCACCGTGTGTGGCAGGTGGCAGGCAGGACCTGGCAGCAGGGGAAGGGGGTGGGGGATTACCAGTTACAGGGGAGTTGATTCAGGTTGCTTCATTGGTTATCAGGTACACTAGCAGAGGGGCACGCCCCTCGCTGCCCCTTTGATAAGAACAGTCAGTAGCTGGAGCCTGGGGCAAGTATGTAGGAAGGTCAGTCATGTGAGTAGGGTATAGGTGAAGCAGGCATTGGTTGAGCAGGGGATATACAGAGAGCAAGAGAACAGCCATCTTGAGTGGCCTGACCATACGCTTGCCCTATGCATCTCTTCCATATGGCTGCTCCTGAGTTACATCCTTTTTTAAGAAACCGGTAATCTAGTAAGTAAAATATTTTCTTGAGTTCTGTGAGCCACTCTATCAAATTAATGAAACCTGAGGAGGAGGTCATGGGAACCTCTGATTTATAGCCCTTTGATCAGAAGCACAGGTAACAACCTCGACTTGTGATTGGAGTCTGAAGTGGAGGAGCACTCTTGTGATATTGAGCCCTTAACCTGTGGAATCTGACACTTTCTCCTGGTAGATAATGTCAGAATTGAGTTAAATTGTAGGACACCCAGCTGGTGTCCCAGAATTGCACACATCTGGTGTTATAGGTGTTGTAGTGGAGTACTGAGAGTAGAGGAGACACACAGGAGGAGGAATTTTTCCTTTATATCTGCTTAAAATTACGCTTCTGTGAAAAGATTTTAAAACCATCCCATTACTGCTTTGGGAACTGAAAGAGCCCCATCTTTGCTCAGCTGGTAACCACTTCCTTTGTGCTGAAACTCTTACACTGCCACTTTTGACTAATACCTTTACTTGTGGCAGGCAGTCCATGCTGCTTCCCAAAGTTCTGGATGTACCTACTGCTCAGTTGCCAGGGCCCATCCTTGTGCCAAAGACTCTTCTCAGCTGGTTGATTCTTTACTACTTGGAGGTCTTTATCACTTTTGCTACTGTAACTACTTCTGCTGAACTTCAATTCTCTGCTAAGTCTCCTAGTACCTCCCACCCCACCCCCCAAAGTAGTGTGAATCATGGCTAAATCTGTTCTACCTGTTTGCCCAGAGATGAGGCTTGACTCAGTATTTTGGCTCTCAAAAGCTCTCAGCCACCCACTGAGAGGATGGGGATAAGCAATCTTTGCATCCCACTGATAAGGCAGCATTGTTCCTTCACTGGACTAGGCCTCTATATAGGGCTAGCTAGAATAGACTACAGGAGGTGTGACATTGTAAGTGAACCTGTGGTGAAGCACATGAGAAGCTTCAGCAAGGAATAGGATGGATATTCCATCTTTTATCTGAGGGGCAGCCACCTGTGCCAATGTGGCGGATGCCAGTCCTCCAAGGTCAAATTCCCTTAGGGCCCTCTTTGTTAACTTCGTGGAATTCAGGGGCCCAAATAAATAAGCCTGTGAGTTTCAGTACGTTTTGTTGAGGAGAGGGAAATTTTCCCCTCTGCCCCTCTTGAGTACTTTTGGCTGGACTAATAATAAAATTGACACAAGGCAGATTAACAGGAGAAAAAGAAACACATTTGACTCCATGCACACGGAGGTTTCACAGACATGGGATGGAGGAAGTGGCCAAAGCAGGCAGATTTTCTACTTCTTAGACAAAGAACCAATAAATTTGCAAAGAATTGACAGGACAAAGAAACTTTGGTTTGGAGTGCCCAATTGGTGAAGAATCTAAACAGAGTTTGTGCTTGGGTAGTACATTAAAGAAGTAACAAGATTTGTTTAAAAAAGGATTCTCACCCCCAAATTCCCTATCTTTGGCAATAAGGGTGTCCTACCTCCAGATGCATGGAGTATACCTTTCACATGAGAGATTTATTTCCTGCTTTCAGGGAGACAAAAAAGAGAGAGTGTCCCTCTTTTTTTTTTTTTTTTTTCCTTTTTTTAAAATTTTGGCTGTGCCGAGCAGCTTGCAGGATCTCAGTTCCCTACTAGGGATCGAACCCGGGGCACAGCAGTGACAGCGCCAAATCCTAACCACTAGGCCACCGGGGAACTCCCTAGAGTGTCCCTCTTGTGTTGGCCATTTCTTCAGTAACTTTAATTCAAAATAATATGCCATTGAGGCATATTTTGGGGTTGCATATCCTGGGCCCCAACATTTTATACTTCAAAAGTTGTCTCTCAGGCCTTTGACAATCCCCTCCCCTACCTAAACCTGGAATAATAAATGATGTGTAGATGGAGCCACTTCCTCATTCATCTTGGAAATAAACAGATTCTGAGATATCATTGAATGTTTTGAGTTGGAATGAATTTTAAAAAAGCATAAATATCAAGTATTTTTTGATTTTCTGTGGCAGCCCTGAAGCCCAAAAAGTTTAAGGGTTCTGCCAGGTGTCCTGTATCTGTTTAATGGCAAAGCTTAAACTAGAACCCAGGCCTCCTGAGTCTGGTACTCTTTTCATTACACCATTTATAAGATTATGTCTTGAGCCACTGAATGAGTAATGAAATCATGGTCTTTGATGTGCCTTGTAGAGAGAAGGCACTCTAAACATTGTCAGCTGAGTGATAAATGCCAGCATTTTCAGGGAGTAGCAAATACTGGGAGAGCTGGACTTAGTATATGTAGATTTCTATGGTTATATTTCTCCATATATTTTGCCATTTAAATGTTTTTCTTTTCTTCTCAAAGATCTTCAGTTTGGATCTTGGAGGTATATCAGCAGTGGTTCTAAATGGCTATGATGTAGTAAAGGAATGCCTTGTTCATCAAAGTGAAATTTTTGCAGACAGACCATGCCTTCCTTTATTCATGAAGATGACAAAAATGGGAGGTATGTTTATTTTCACCTAACTAATGATTTACTAAACTATTTTAAATCACATTTCCTTTTTTTTAAAATTAATTAATTTATTTTTGGCTGCATTTGGTCTCCATTGCCACGCATGGGCTTTTTCTAGTTGCAGTCAGTGGGGGTTACTCTTCGTTGTGGTGCACGGGCTTCTCATTGCAGTGGCTTCTCTTGTTGCAGATCATGGGCTCTAGGCACATGGGCTTCAGTAGTTGTGGCACATGGGCTCAGTAGTTGTGGCTCACAGAGTGCAGGCTCAGTAGTTGTGGCGCATGGGCTTAGTTGCTCTGTGGCATGTGGGATCTTCTTCGACCAGGGCTTGAACCCGTGTACCCTGCATTTGCAGGCAGATTCTTAACCACTGTGTGCCACCAGGGAAGTCCCCACATTTCTTATTTTATGTAAATTTAGTACATAGAGATTGGATTCTGTTGTACTGATTAACAAGAAAGTATTAATTAGTTAATTTAGGTTACAGACCCTAATATTTGAGGACCTTTCAGGCTGCATTACATTCATATTTTAGGCCAGTACATGCTAATTCTACTGTTGTAATCCAGTTCTGATAAATATTATAAATAATGTTTTAAAGAATTAGCACTTAATAATATGTGCAGGTTTTGTGAAACAGGTTAAGAATACATACACATGCACACATACTTGAATCAAAAGTATCTTTGAAGCTAGTCTTGAGTGCTTGGTGACATTTTACTGTTATTTTACTTGTAAGTTTATAGACCCTGAAACAGCCTTTCTTTACTAATTAATAAGATATGTAAATGAAGAATTGTGGGTTTGTGTAAAGGACTAGTATTCTCTATGGTTTAGTGTTGATCAGTGTCGGATGATTGCATATTCAACAAGGGAGAAAGGCTGAAAGTTAACAGAACGGATGAGACGAAAGCAGCAACAGAAAGCCTAAAATAGAATGTTGACGTCAGATACATCCGTTTTCATACTTAATAGTATAAGAGTTTTTATCTCCAAAATTTTCCAGTTCAGTGAGAGCTTCACTCTTCATTTGAAAGAAAAATTCAACAGTATCTTGGTTACATAGACTAAAGAAGACATTGATTGAAAAGGAAAAAAATAAAAATTAACCATATATTAAATTGCAAAGCAAATCAATTAATGCAAAGAAAACACCAGTTTTAAAGGTCAAATTCTTAGACCAGGGCATGACGACACTTGAAAGCGATAATATAAATAAAAAGCAAATCTCCAGCTTCTTAAATACTCTTTCAAGTAATAATTAGGCCAAAGAAGAAATTATACCACAATTATAATAGAAGACCTTTAAAGAAATTATGAAAATGTATGATGTGATCAGAGTAATATTTAGGATAAACTATATGTTTTTTGAAGCTATAAACTTATAGTTTAGACTGTTTTTATCATAAAGAAAGAAAAAACATGCATTCAACTTAAGATTTTCAAAGAAATAGTAAGAGAAAAAATAAGTAGAAAATTAGATGTGTTGGGCTTCCCTGGTGGTGCAGTGGTTAAGAATCTGCCTGCCAGTACAGGGAACACGGGTTCAAGCCCTGGTCCGAGTAGATCCCACATGCCGTGGAGCAACTAAGCCCATGTGCCACAACTACTGAGTGTGTGCTCTGTGAGCCACAACTACTGAGCCCACGAGCCACAACTACTGAAGCCCACGTGCCACAACTACTGAAGCCTGTGCTCTGCAACAAGAGAAGCTACCACAATGAGAAACCTGTGCACCACAACAAAGAGTAGACCCTGCTTGACGCAGCTAGAGAAAGCCCACATGCAGCAACAAAGACCCAATGCAGCCAAAAATAAATAAATAAATAAATTTATTTAAAAAAAAAAAAAGAAAATTAGATGTGGTTTCTTTTTTTTTGGCTGCACTGCCCAGTTTGCGGGATATTAGTTCCCAACCAGGGACTGACCCTGGGCCCACAGCAGTGAAAACGTGGAGTCCTAACCATTGGACCACCAGGGAATTCCCTAGATGTGTTATTTTAAGATGCATATGCACTGAACTTGGAAGTGGGAAATCAGAGCCACCATAAACCCACTGTTTGAATAGGAAAAAGTGGCCCTTTAGGCGGGTTCAGCCCATGCCTGGGCACACAGACTGGCCAGTATAGGGTTATAATCAGGCTCCTGTGTACCTTCTTCTGTGTAACTGTATGCATATATTATGCACATGTATCCCATATGCATACATTTCTCTTGGGCTTGCTTTTATCTCAGTGCCTTTGCACTGGTTCTCTCTACCTGCAGTGATCTTTCCCTGGATATCTGCTTGACTCACTCCCATCTCCTGTGTCTTTACTTATGTCACCTTCTCACTGAGGCTTTTCCTGACCACCCTATGTCTCCTTCCTTGCTCTATAATTTGTTTGTCTCTCCTCACTAGTATGTAAGGTCCATGAGAAATAGCCATCTTTGCCTCTTTTGTTCACTAATATATCTAGGACACTTTAGCTCCAGAAATACATTATGTTGAATGAATAGTCATCTGGGAGTATCGAAAAGAGAATGGAATATGGCATATAAAATTGCTGCACAGCGTTAAAGACCCCCTTATTTATGGTTAATTTCATTATAAGTTCCAAATTCAAAAACTGTTGCACAAAAGTTGTTGGAATGTAAATTACATAGGTACTTCATGTAGGCAAGAGAACATAACATTTTTCATCATAGGTATACCTATGTACCAATTATGAATGAAATTCCAAGTAAACTACACGTTATAGAAATATATATGCTGAAGAAGTTTTTTTCTTGATAATCGATTTAAAGGGAAAATATTCCATAGTAGACATATCAGAACAGCAGAGTATACTGTGGAGACTGAGATTTCAAGGCAAGCAATATCAACATTAGAAGTTTGAGTTTCGTGTTTGTCCCCTTAGTTTGGGCTGCTATAACAAAAATATATAGACTAAGTGGCTTAAACAACAGTTATTCTATCAGATCTGGAGGCTAGGAAATTCAAGATCAAGGTACTAGCAGAACACTGTCTGTAAAGAGCCTGCTTCCTGGCTTGCAGACTGCTGTCTTCTCCCTGTATCCTCACATAACCAAGAGCAGTCATCTCTTCCCACATCCCTTCTTATAATGGCACTAAAGCTCATTCATGAGGGCTCATTACATAATTATTTCCCAAATACCTAATTTCCTAATACCATCACATTGGGGATTAGGCTTCAACATTTGAATGTTGTGGTGGCACAAACATTCAGTCCCTAGCACCTGCTTTTGGCTTGAGTATTTCCACTACATTGATACCTCATTCAGGCCATCCTTGCCACTTCCAGTTATAGTATTAGGTAACATATGCCTTTAATGGGAGGAAATTTGTATTCTAAAATCTAGTCTCTTAAAGCAGGAAATTTCTAATTTGAGAAGGATGATTTCTCAGGTATGTGTTTAGTCCAGGATAAAATTTTGCCCATAGAACACACAGTCATTCATCTTTTGTAAATTAGGCTTACAATAGAAGTTGGATAATAAAGTCACCCAAGGCCTTGTTCACCCAGGTTGAATTACAGAAGACAGTTCAGTTTCTTGTGGTGGGAGATTATAGGTCTTTTCTGCCTGTGCCCAGATGAGAAGTATGGATAAGCTTTATCTGTTTATAATATTCCATGGCTAATGAGGAGTAAAGAATAGGGCTTAACTACTGGGTCTAGTTTTAGTTTTATAGAAAATTTGGAGAAGAATGAATAACCATCTTTTTTTTTTTCTTCCCTGCAGAGTATTTTTAGCTGTTCGATACAGGGATGTAGGAATGATAAAATTTTTTAATAGTTTCATAGAAAGATAATTTGGAGAAGAATGACTAACTATCCCTTTTTCTTTTTAGGCTTACTCAATTCCAGATATGGCCGAGGATGGGTTGATCACAGAAAATTAGCTGTAAACAGCTTTCGCTGTTTTGGATATGGCCAAAAGTCTTTTGAATCTAAAATCTTAGAAGAAACCAAATTTTTCATTGATGCTATTGAAACATACAATGGTAGCCCTTTTGACTTCAAACAATTAATAACAAATGCCGTTTCAAACATAACCAATCTGATAATTTTTGGAGAACGATTCACTTATGAAGACACTGATTTTCAGCACATGATTGAGTTATTTAGTGAAAATGTGGAACTAGCCACTAACGCCTCAGTCTTCCTCTATAATGCCTTTCCATGGATTGGCATCTTACCTTTTGGAAAACATCAACAACTGTTTAGAAATGCAGCTGTGGTCTATGACTTTCTCTCCAGGCTTATTGAAAAAGTTTCCATCAACAGAAAGCCTCAGTTACCTCAGCATTTTGTTGATGCTTATTTAGATGAGATGGATCAAGGTAAAAATGACCCATCATCTACTTTCTCCAAAGAAAACCTGATTTTCTCTGTGGGTGAACTCATCATTGCTGGAACTGAAACTACAACCAATGTGCTACGGTGGGCAATTCTTTTCATGGCCCTTTATCCTAACATTCAAGGTAAGGATTCCGGTGATCTCAAGGTCTGTTCTTACATTTAGGGCTCACACATGTTTTAGAGTCTTTGGCCGTGTACAAGGCATTCTATTTAGGAACTCTTAATGTGCTATCCAAAAAGAGAAGCATTGAATAGCTATAAGGTTTTCAGAACTGTTATCTAAATTTGTATAAAAACCTCAGAGATGTCTTATAATACCTATTTTATAAATGAGGGAAAAGGCTGAGTGACTGATTTGCTCACTCCCTTCTAGTGCTGAGCTGGGACCTGAACCCTGGTGGTGGTGGTGGTTGTTGTTTTTCGGCTGCACCACGCTGCATGCAGGATCTTAGTTCCCCAACCAGGGATCGAACCTGTGCTTGCTGCAGTGGAAGCATGGAGTCTTAACCTCTGGACTGCTGGGGAAGTCCCAATCCTGTTTTTTTTTAATTTAAGTTTTGATGCTTCACTCTTTTCCTTGCTGAGAGTGTTGTTATTCTAATTCTAGATTTGTTTAATTTTTAGTTTTATTACTTATAATGTGTTTTTCACAACAAAATTACTTAGAGCGTTGGGTACTGGTTGTATAAGATATGTGTCACATATTTAAATAGAACTCCCAAATAATGAAAAATCTGAATCTGGGTGTACCCATACCTTGTTGGCTTACTACAGGTTATCTTTTGTTTTATCCTAAAGGGAAATTACTTCAGATATAATTCTAAGAAGTGCATAATAACTTGAACACTTTTTCTCTTACAGGACAAGTTCAGAAAGAGATTGATTTAATTATAGGACCCAGTGGGACACCTTCTTGGGATGACAAATGCAAAATGCCTTATACTGAGGCAGTTTTACATGAAGTTTTAAGATTCTGTAATATAGTGCCTTTAGGGATTTTCCATGCAACCTCTGAGGATGCAGTTGTACGTGGTTATTCCATTCCTAAAGGCACAACAGTAATTACAAATCTTTATTCTGTACACTTTGATGAAAAGTATTGGAGAGACCCAGAAATATTCTATCCAGACCGATTTCTGGACAGCAATGGATATTTTGCCAAGAAGGAAGCTTTGGTTCCCTTTTCCCTAGGTAAGAGAACTTTCAGAGGGGCATAACTTTAGGAAAAAGTATAATGCTGATTTGTCATGTATAATATCTTAATCTGAAGCATTCTCTTGTAGAGTTAATATCCCAACTCTGAAAACAGTATTGACTCTTACAGGAGAGAATGGTTTAATTAGAGCTCATTAACACCTCTTTCTACTCAAAATAAACAAGCCATAATTTAGCAGCTAGAAAGAAATTGATGAGAAGCTCTGGCTTTTTCTGAAACTTTCTTGCTTGTGGATTTTGGCTTGTAATCAAAACTTGTAGAGCTAAAAATCAGTAACAGGCAGCTTGAGAGACTGAGACCCAGGGACAGGAAGGGCATCATAACTTGAAGTGAAACTAGAATCTAGCTCTCTTGGCTCTCAATTCTTATACCTCATCTCCAAAAATATTGCATCTCCTGTGAACAAGTACACAGATCACAAGACCCATGAAAGAAGGACTGGAAAAATCCTTTCACTGGGGAAGGGTACACATGCAGTCATTTGAAATGTAATGAACTTCTCCTGGGTCAAGAGAACAAAGTGTCACACCTCATATCTTTCATGGCATATCTCAGGCTCTGTTGCCACATGCAAAGGAAGTGGAGAATAGAACTAATGAGCTTAGAACAGTACATGACCTTACAAAAGAAGATAAAGAAATGGCTTCTGGGAGCCAAAGTGCCAATTTCTATTCTTTGTGGCTTAAGAAAATCCTTTAATAAACATAACTTCTAGGCTTCCCTGGTGGTGCAGTGGTTAAGAATCCACCTGCCAGAAGACCTAAATAGACATTTCTCCAAAGAAGATATACAGATTGCCAACAAACACATGAAAGAATGTTCAACATCATAAATCATTAGAGAAATACAAATCAAAACTACAGTGAGATATAATCTCACACCAGTCAGAATGGCCATCATATAAAAAGCTAGAAACAGAGGGAAGATGGCGGAAGAGTAAGACGTGGAGATCACCTTCCTCCCCACAGATACACCAGAAATGCATCTACATGTGGAACAACTCCTACAGAACACCTACTGAACGCTGGCAGGAGACCTCAGACCTCCCAAAAGGCAAGAAAGTCCCCACGTACCTGAGTAGGGCAAAAGAAAAAAGAATAAACAGAGACAAGGATAGGGACGGGACCTACACCAGTGGGAGGGAGCCGTGAAAGAGGAAAGGTTTCCAAACACTAGGAAGCCCCTTCGCAGGTGGAGACTGCGGGTGGTGGAGGGGGAAAGATTCGGAGCTGTGGAGGAGAGCACAACAACGGGTACAGAGGGCAAAGCGGAGAGATTCCCGCACAGGTGATCGGTGCCGACTGGCCTTCACCAGCCCGAGAGGCTGGTCTGCTCACCCGCTGAGGCAGGCAAGGCTGGGAGCTGAGGCTCGGACTTCAGTCGGAGTGCAGGGAGAGGAGTGGGGTTGGTGGCATGAACACAGCCTGCAGGGGGTTAGTGCACCATGGCTAGCCAGGAGGGAGTCCAGGGAAAAGTCTGTACCTGCCAAAGAGGCAAGAGACTTTCTTCCGTCTTTGTTTCCTGGTGCATGAGAAGAGGGGATTAAGAGCGCTGCTTAAAGAAGCTCCAGAGACGGGCGCGAGCTGCGACTAAAAGCGCGAACCCCAGAGACGGGAAAGACGCTAAGGCTGCTGCTACTGCCACCAAGAAGCCTGTGTGTGAGCACAGGTCACTATCCACACCCCCCCTTCCAGGGAGCCTGTGCAGCCCGCCACTACCAGGGTCCCGGGATCCAGGGACAATTTCCCCGGGAGAACGCAGAACGGCACGCCTCAGGCTGGTGCAACGTCATGCTGGCCTCTGCCACCACAGGCCCCACACTCCGTACCCCTCCCTACCCCCGGCCTGAGTGAGCCAGAGTCCCGGAAGCAGCTGCTTCTTTAACCCCATCTTGTCTGAGTGAAGAACAGACGCCCTCCAGCGACCTACACACAGAAGCGGGGCCAAATCCAAAGCTGAGCCCCGGGAGCTGTGAGAACAAAGAAGAGAAAGGGAAATCTCTCCCAGAAGCCTCAGAAGCAGCAGATTAAAGTTCCACAATCAACTTGATGTACCCTGCATCTGTGGAATACCTGAATAGACAACAAATCATCCCAAATTGAGGAGGTGGACTTTGAGAGCAAGATTTATTATTTTTTCCCCTTTTCGTCTTTTTCTGAGTGTGTATGTGTATGCTTCTGTGTGAGATTTTGTCTGTATAGCTTTGCTTCCACCATTTGTCCTAGGGTTCTCTCCGTACTTTTTTTGGTTTTTTTGTTGTTGTTTTTTTTCTTAATAATTACTTTTTATTTTAATAACTTTATTTTATCTTACTTTATTTTATTTTATTGTATCTTCTTTCTTTCCTTTCATCTCTCCTTCTCTCCCTCCCTCCCACCTTCCTTCCCTTCCTCCCTCCCTCCCTCCCTTCCTTCCTTCCTTCCTTCTTTCTTTCTTTCTCCCTTTTATTCTGAGCTGTGTGGATGAAAGGCTCTTGGTTCTGCAGCCAGGGGTCAGTGCTATGCTTCTGAGGTAGGAGAGCTATCTTCAGGACACTGGTCCACAAGAGACCTCCCAACTCCATATAATATCAAATGGCAAAAATCTCCCAGAGATCCCGATCTCAACACCAGCACCCAGCTTCACTTAACGACCAGCAAGCTACAGTGCCGGACACCCTATGCCAAACAACTAGCAAGACAGGAACACAACCCCACCCATTAGCAGAGAGGCTGCCTAAAATCATACTAAGTCCACAGGCACCCCAAAACACACCACCAGACGTGGACCTCCCACCAGAAAGACAAGATCCAGCTTTATCCACCAGAACACAGGCACTAGTCCCCTCCACCAGGAAGCCTACACAACCCACTGAACCAACTTTAGCCACTGCGGACAGACACCAAAAACGACGGGAACTGCGAACCTGCAGCCTGAAAAAAGGAGACCCCAAACAGAGTAAGATAACCAAAATGAGAAGACAGAAAAACACACAGCAGATGAAGGAGCAAGATAAAAACCCACTACACCTAACAAATGAAGAGGAAATAGACAGTCTACCTTAAAAAGAATTCAGAATAATGATAGTAAAGATGATTCAAATTCTTGGAAATAGAATAGACAAAATACAAGAAACATTTAACAAGGAACTAGAAGAACTAAAGATGAAACAAGCAACAATGAACAACACAATAAATGAAATTAAAAATAGAAGGGATCAATAGAATAACAGGCAGAAGAACAGATAAGTGACCTGGAAGATAAAATAGTGGAAATAACTACTGCAGAGCAGAATAAAGAAAAAAGAATGGAAAGAACTGAGAACAGTCTCAGAGACCTCTGGGACAACATTAAATACACCAACATTCGAACTATAGGGGTCCCAGAAGAAGAAGCGAAAAAGAAAAGGACTGAGAAAATATTTGAAGAGATTATAGTTGAAAACTTCCCTAATATGGGAAAGGAAATAGTTAACCAAGTCCAGGAAGCACAGAGAGTCCCATACAGGATAAATCCAAGGAGAAATATGCCAAGACAGGTATTAATCAAACTGTCAAAAATTAAGTACCAGGAAAACATATTAAAAGCAGCAAGGGAAAAACAACAAATAACACACAAGGGAATCCCCATAATGTTAACAGCTGATGTTTCAGCAGAAACTCTGCAAGCCAGAAGGGACTGGCAGGATATATTTAAAGTGATGAAGGAGAAAACCCTGCAACCAAGATTACTGTACCCAGCAAGGATCTCATTCAGATTTGATGGAGAAATTAAAACCTTTACAGACAAGCAAAAACAGAGAGTTCAGCACCACCAAACCATCTTTTACAACAAATGCTAAAGGAACTTCTCTAGGCAAGAAACACAAGAGAAGGAAAAGACCTACAATAACGAACCCAAAACAATTAAGAAAATGGGAATAGGAACAAACATATCGATAATTACCTTAAATGTAAATGGAATAATGCTCCCACCAAAAGACACAGATTGGCTAAATGGATACAAAAACAAGACCCATATATAAGCTGTCTACAAGAGACCCACTTCAGACCTAGAGACACATACAGACTGAAAGTAAGGGGATGGAAAAAGATATTCCATGCAAATGGAAACCGAAAGAAAGCTGGAGTAGCAATTCTCATATCAGACAAAATAGACTTTAAAGACTATTAGAAGAGACAAAGAAGGACACTACATAATGATCAAGGGATTGATCCAAGAAGAGGATATAACAATGGTAAATATTTATGCAGCCAACATAGGAGCACCCCAATACATAAGGCAAATACTAACAGCCATCAAAGGGGAAATCGACAGTAACGCATTCATAGTAGGGGACTTTAACACCCCATTTTCACCAATGGACAGATCATTCAAAATGAAAATAAATAAGGAAACACAAGCTTTAAATGATACATTAAACAAGATGGACTTAATTGATATTTATAGGACATTCCATACAAAAACAACAGAATACACATTTTTCTCAAGTGCTTATGGAACATTCTCCAGGATAGATCATATCTTGAGTCACAAGTCTAGCCTTGGTGAATTTAAGAAAATTGAAATTGTATCAAGTATCTTTTCCGACCACAACACTATGAGACTAGATATAAATTACAGGAAAAGATCTGTAAAAAATACAAACACATGGAAGCTAAACAATACGCTACTTAATAACGAAGTGATCACTGAAGACATCAAAGAGGAAATCAAAAAATACCTAGAAAGAAATGACAATGGAGACACGACGACCCAAAACCTATGGGATGCAGCAAAAGCAGTTGTAAGAGGGAAGTTTATAGCAATACAATCCTACCTTACAAAACAGGAAACATCTCGAATAAACAACCTAACCTTGCACCTAAAGCAATTAGAGAAAGAAGAACAAAAAAACCCCCCAGTTAGTAGAAGGAAAGATATCATAAAAATCAGATCAGAAATAAATGAAAAAGAAATGAAGGAAACAATAGCAAAGATCAATAAAACTAAAAGCTGATTGTTTGAGAAGATAAACAAAATTCATAAACCATTAGCCAGACTCATGAAGAAAAAAAAGGTGAAGACTCAAATCAATAGAAATGAAAAAGGAGAAGTAACAACTGACACTGCAGAAGTACAAAAGGTCATGAGACATTACTGCAAGCAACTCTATGCCAATAAAATGGACAACCTGGAAGAAATGGAAAAATTCTTAGAAATGCACAACCTGCCAAGACTGAATCAGGAAGAAATAGAAAATATGAACAGACCAATCACAAGCACTGAAATTCAAACTGTGATTAAAAATCTTCCAACAAACAAAAGCTCAGGACCAGATGGCTTCACAGGCGAATTCTATCAAACATTTAGAGAAGAGCTAACACATATCCTTCTCAAACTCTTCCAAAATATAGCAGAGGGAAGAACACTCCCAAACTCATTCTACGAGGCCACCATCACCCTGATACCAAAACCAGACAATGATGTCACAAAACAAAACTACAGGGCTTTCCTGGTGGCGCAGTGGTTGAGAGTCCGCCTGCCATTGCAGGGGATGAGTGTTCGTGCCCCAGTCCGGGAGGATGCCACATGCCGCAGAGCGGCTGGGCCCATGAGCCATGGCTGCTGAGCCTGTGCATCTGGAGCCTGTGCTCCGCAACGGGAGAGGCCACAACAGTGAGAGGCCCACATACCACAAAACAAATAAAAAAAAAAAAAAAACTACAGGCCAATATCACTGATGAACATAGATGCAAAATTCCTTAACAAAATACTAGCAAACAGAATCCAACAGCACATTAAAAGGATCATACACCATGATCAAGGGGGGTTTACTCCAGGAATGCAAGGATTCTTCAGTATACACGAGTAAAACAATGTGATAAACCATATTAACAAATTGAAGGAGAAAAACCATATGATCATCTCAGTAGATGCAGAGAAAAGCTTCCAACAAAATTCAACACCGATTTATGATAAAAACCCTGAAGAAAGTAGGCATAGAGGGAACTTTCCTCAACATAATAAAGGCCATATATGACAAACCCACAGCCAACATTGTCCTCAATGGTGAAAAACTGAAAGCATTTCCACTAAGATCAGCAACAAGACAAGGTTGCCCACTCTCACCACTCTTATTCAACATAGTTTTGGACGTTTTAACCACAGCAATCAGAGAAGAAAAGGAAATAAATGGAATCCAAATCAGAAAAAAAGAAGTAAAGCTGTCACTGTTTGCAGATGACATGATACTATACGTAGAGAATCCTAAAGTTGCTACCAGAAAACTACTAGAGCTAATCAATGAATTTGGTATAGTAGCAGGATACAAAATTAATGCACAGAAATCTCTGACATTCCTATACACTAGTGATGAAAAATCTGAAAGTGAAATCAAGAAAACACTCCCATTTACCATTGCAACAAAAAGAATAAAATATCTAGGAATAAACCTACCTAAGGAGACAAAAGACCTGTATGCAGAAAATCATAAGACACTGATGAAAGAAATTAAAGATGATACAAATAGATGGAGAGATGTACAATGTCCTTGGATTGGAAGAATCAACATTGTGAAAATGACTCTACTACCCAAAGCAATCTACAGATTCAATGCAATCCCTATCAAACTACCACTGGCATTTTCCACAGACCTAGAACAAAAAATGTCACAATTTGTATGGAAACACAAAGGACCCTGAATAGCCAAAGCAAGCTTGAGAACGAAAAACGGAGCTGGAGGAATCAGGCTCCCTGACTTCAGACTATACTACAAAGCTACAGTAATCAAGACAATATGACTGGCACGAAAACAGAAATATAGATCAATGGAACAGGATAGAAGGCCCAGAGATAAACCCACGCACAGAGGAGGCAGGAATGTACAGTGGAGAAAGGACAGCCTCTTCAATAAGTGGTGCTGGGAAAACTGGACAGGTACATGTAAAAGTATGAGATTAGAACACTCCCTAACACCATACACAAAAATAAGCTTAAAATGGATTAAAGACCTAAATGTGAGGCCAGAAACTATCAAACCCTTAGATGAAAACATAGGCAGAACAGTCTATGACATAAATCACAGCAAGATCCTTTTTGACTCACCTCCTAGAGAAATGGAAATAAAAACAAAAATAAACAAATGGGACCTAATGAAACTTCAAAGCTTTTGCACAGCAAAGGAAACCATAAACAAGACCAAAAGACAACCCTCAGAATGGGAGAAAATATTTGCAAATGAAGGAACTGACAAAGGATTAATCTCCAAAATTTATAAGCAGCTCATGCAGCTCAATAACAAAAAAACAAACAACCCAATCCAAAAATGGGCAGAAGACCTAAATAGACATTTCTCCAAAGAAGATGTACAGATTGCCAACAAACACATGAAAGAGTGCTCAGCATCATTAATCATTAGAGAAATGCATATCAAAACTACAATGAGATATCACACCAGTCAGAATGGCCATCATCAAAAAATCTAGAAGCAATAAATGGAGAAGATGTGGAGAAAAGGGAACACGCTTGCACTCCTGGTGGGAATGTGAATTGGTACAGCCACTATGAAGAACAGTATGGAGGTTCCTTATAAAACTACAAAGAGAACTACCATATGACCCAGCAATCCCACTGCTGGGCATATACCCTGAGAAAACCATACTTCAAAAGGAGTCATGTACCAAAACGTTCATTGTAGCTCTATTTACAATAACCCGGAGATGGAAACAACCTAAGTGTCCATCATCGGATGAATGGATAAAGAAGATGTGGCACATATATACAATGAATATTACTCAGCCATAAAAAGAAACGAAATTGAGCTATTTGTAATGAGGTGGATGGACCCAGAGTCTGTCATACAGAGTGAGGTAAGTCAGAAAGAGAAAGGCAAATACTATGCTAACACATATATATGGAATCTAAGCGGAAAAAATGTCATGAAGAACCTAGGGGTAAGACAGGAATAAAGACACAGACCTACTAGAGAATGGACTTGAAGATATGGGGAGGGGGAAGGGGAAGCTGTGAAAAAGCGAGAGAGTGGCATGGACATATATATACTACCAAATGTAAAATAGATAGCTAGTGGGAAGCAGCCGCATAGTGTGGGGAGATCAGCTCGGTGCTTTGTGACCGCGTGGAGGGGTGGGATAGGGTGGGAGGGAGGGAGAAGCAAGAGGGAAGAGATTTGGGAACATATGTATATGTATAACTGATTCACTTTGTTATAAAGCAGAAACTAACACACCCTTGTAAAGCAATTATACTCCAATAAAGATGTAAAAAAGTTTTAAAAAAATCTAGAAACAATAAATGCTGGAGAGGGTGTGGAGAAAAGGGAACCCTCTGGCACTGTCGGTGGGAGTGTAAATTGATACAGCCACTATGGAGAACAGTATGGACATTCCTTAAAAAACTAAAAATAGAACTATCATACAACCCAGCAATCCCACTATGGAGCATATACCCTGAGAAAACCCCAATTCAGAAAGAGTCATGTACCAAAATGTTCATTGCAGCTCTATTTACAATAGCCAGGACATGGAAGTAACCTAAATGTCCTTCAAGAGTTGAATGGATAAAGAAGATGTGGCACATATATACAATGGAATATTACTCAGCCATAAAAAGAAACGAAATTGAGTTATTTGTAGTGAGGTGGATGGACCTAGAGTCTGTCATACAGAGTGAAGTAAGTCAGAAAGAGAAAAACAAATACCATATGCTAACACATATATATGGAATCTAAGAAAAGAAAAAAAAAGTTTGTGAAGAACCAGGGGCAAGACAGGAATAAAGGCGCAGACCTACTAGAGAATGGACTTGAGGATATGTGGAGGGGGAAGGATAAGCTGTGACAAAGCGAGAGAGTGGCATGGACATATATACACTTCCAAACGTAAAATCGGTAGGTAGTGGGAAGCAGCCACATAGCACAGGGAGATCAGCTCAGTTTGTGACCACCTAGAGGGGTGGGATAGGGAGGGTGGGAAGGAGGGAGACTGAAGAGGAAAGAGATATGAGAACATATGCATATGTATAACTGCTTCCCTTTGTTATAAAGCAGAAACTAACACACCATTGTAAAGCAATTATACTCCAATAAAGATGTTAAAAAAAAAAAAAAAAAACCCCCCCCCCTGCCAGTGCAGGGGATATGGGTTCAAGCCCTGGTCTGGGAAGATCCCGCATGCCGCGGAGCAACTAAGCCCATCTGCCACAACTACTGAGCCTGTGCTCTAGAGCCCACGAGCCACAACTACTGAGCCCATGAGTCACAACTACTGAAGCCTGTGGGCCTAGAACCCATGCTCCGCAACAAGAGAAGCCACTGCATTGAGAAGCTTGCGCACTGCAATGAAGAGGAACCCCCACTCGCCGTATCTAGAGAAAGCCCATGAGCCGCAATGAAGACCCGATGAGGCCAATAATAAATTAATTAATTTATTAAAAATAAATGAATAAAATAAACATAACTTCCTCTAAGTTTCTTTAAATTCCAGGTTTCCTGAATGGTACGTATTAGACATAAATTTTGGTAAATATTGTGGATTTAGAAAAATTATACCTGTTTTTTATGTTGAGGGAGAAGACATTGTCTTGGAGAACAGCTGGCTCGGATGGAAATGTTCCTGTTTTTTACAACATTGCTTCAGCGATTTCACTTGCATTTTCCACATGAACTGGTTCCAAATCTGAAGCCCAGGTTAGGCATGACGTTGCAACCCCAGCCCTACCTCATCTGTACAGAAAGACGCTGAAAGTGCCTGGCTGTTTTGTGAAACCAGGTGTTTGCCTCACCCCTGAACCTTGTTTATACAGTGTGTGTGTTTGTATAAGGATCACAGCATCATAAAAACCAGATGAACACAGATGTGTCTTTAAAAAGTGTAATAGTAAGCATTAGCTATTATTTTTTCCAACCTTTTATGACTTATAAGGTAGAATTATCTGAGGAAAACAGAGGTACAAATGACAGTTGTTGCTTAAGATACTAAGAAGGGCCATCGATGACCTGACTTTTCAGCCTGTTGTTGAGCACCAGGTACCCCTCATCCCTTCTTGACTCCAATTTGCTCCTTTCTGGGCTCTTTGCTTCCAAATGTCAATGCCAGCTCCTTTCTGATCAGGTATTGGCATTAATAGATTGTGTGGTACTAGTCCAGTTTAATAGTGGACTAAAGAAGAAATTAAAACCCAAATGAGTTTGGACTACAGAGGTATTTTAGACATGGTGGCAGATGATAGAATAGATAGCTATACAGTATATTTAATGTAAAACCTGCCAGTGCTTTCAAATCTTGCTTCTTACTATAGCTTCGTAAGAGTTGCGGCGTTATTCTTCCTACAGATGAGGGTCCCTGTGACCCTCATAGCAGCCGTTAAGTAGATAGGAAATTACAATAAGGTATTTAAAAATGACACATATGGGGCTTCCCTGGTGGCGCAATTGTTGAGAGTCTGCCTGCCGATGCCGGGGACACAGGTTCGTACCCCAGTCCGGGAAGACCCCACATGCTGTGGAGCGGCTCGCCCGTGAGCCATGGCCCCTGAGCCTGCGCGTCCAGAGCCTGTGCTCTGCAACAGGAGAGGCCACAACAGTGAGAGGCCCACGTACCGCAAAAAAAAACAAAAAACAAAAAACAAGGCAGAAGATTGAGTGGTCTTCCGTCTCTCTCAGTGAGTAAATAGATATTACCAATACTGTTCAGTTGTTTATTCAGAGTCAATGCCAAGTTTGAAGATTTAACCTTTGTGAATAGTCTGCCTATGACAAGTACGGAAGAGGTTATTTTCAAAGACGATGAGAAAACACTGATTTCAGCACAACCTAAGATGGAATCTGCTAAGATTTGTTACAATTGATAGTAAAAATATATGTGGAGCATTAAAAGGCATAGTTGTACAAATTGTATTATCAGCAGGTACTTTGCAGAAAGTGCTTGAATCTATCATGTGTTATAAAACCAAACCATCATCAGTTTTGTGCATTTTTGTCAGAAATAGGAGCTGAATATCCTGACCTGCTCTACCACGCTTCAGTGATTTAGCAGTGATAACACTTTATTGCAAATTTTTTGAGCTCAGGGCCAAGATTGTAATATTTCTGAATGAGGAGAACCACCTTTAACTACTGTTATCAAGTACTGAATGACTGTGGACATTAGTCTTTACAGCAGGTAAAGTCATTTCAACAACAACCTAACACTTTCTATACTTCTTGTGGTGTCAACAGTTAAAACATGAAATTAGGCCTCCATTCCCATGCAGCCTTTCAGCAGATAAATTTTGTGAGCTCAAACTAAAGTTCCAGAAGCTCTTTTTTGGACCTCAATGCAAATGCAAAAAAAAATCCTTACTTCAAAATTTATTTAACTGTGTAGTTGAGGAGCTTCCACCTAACCTTCAATTGCAAGTGTTTAGTCTGCAAAGTAATGACATGCTAAAAGGCAAATATCAGAGAATTTAATAGAATTCTATAAATGCCTTCCCAGGGATTAATATACTTAATTAAAATCAGATGCTCATGGATTGATATCAGTATTTGGCAGTACCCATCTGTGTAAAAAGGCACTTTCAGATATGAAACATGTAAATATCATTACAGATCAACATTAACTGATGAACATTTGTAATGTTTTGAATGACAGGAAACACACACTTTGAACCCCAATTAAGCAAAATTTTATCTCCTAAAAAAGAATTCCCTTTTTCTCATTAGTGGAACAATATTACTTTTTTTTAAAAAAAGTACTTAATATAGTATTACTATATTATTTTATGAATGTCATCAATAAAAATCTTGTAGAAAATTGTTTCTCTTTTATATAAGTACCTACATAATGTGCTTGGTCTGCAAAGCCTAAAATATTTACTGTCAGCCCCTGTACAAAAAAGTTTGCTGATTTTGGAGTTAGAAAAACTAGTAGCTAGGGGTGACAGCATAAACACTCAAAATACAAAATAACAGAATAATCCAGAAATAGAATTTTAATAATCATAAGAAATTGATTTATACAATTAAATGCAAAGAAGTTTGAAGACCTGAAATGGATAATCTCTATGAAAATATAATTTACCAAAGATGACCCTAGGAAGACAAAGCCTTAACAGACCAGATTTCATTAAAAAAAAGTTGCCAAAGATGTGACCCCCAGAAAACTATTTGAGCTGTTCTAGAGCATAGAAACAAAAGGAAAAATTTGAATGCTATTTTAGAATTAAACGAGCAAACATGGATATCAATTTTAAAGTCCTAAATAAATTATTAAGAAAAGATCCAGGGCTTCCCTGGTGGCGCAGTGGTTGAGAGTCTGCCTGCCGATGCAGGGAACACGGGTTCATGCCCCGGTCTGGGAAGATCCCACATGCCACGGAGTGGCTGGGCCTGTGAGCCATGGCCGCTGAGCCTGCGCGTCTGGAGCCTGTGCCCTGCAACGGGAGAAGCCACAACAGTGTGAGGCCCGCATACTGAAAAAAAAAAAAAAAAAAGATCCAACACTACATTTAAAAATTAATACATTATGATTAAGTAGAGTTTATTCCAGGAATATGTGAATGGTTCAGTATTAGAAAACATTAATCATTTACAGAGAAAACTCATGGACAAGCTCATAGATGTTAAAAAAGCATTTGACAAAATTCAACATTTAATAAAATACAAATTGATAGAATGAATACATGCATATATACATACATACACCTCTAAAACATACCATGTGTACATATGCAAATATGTGTATATATAATGTGTATTATATATACACATTCCAAAACTGATGTGAAAATATTGGAGGTATTCCCTTAAAGTTAAGAACAAGAAAATGAGTCCTCTTTCACCATACTGTTTTCTCGTATTAAAGGTATTAGCTAGCACAATGACATTAGATTGCAAGAATTGAAAAGAGTAAAACTTTTTATTTGCAGAAAATATGACTATATTCCCGTACAGCCCATGAGAATAAATAGTTAGATAATTTAATAAAGTAATAGGATATAAAATTAAAATACAAAAAATCAATAGTTATTATATGTACAGCAACCATTAAATACATGGAAGAGAAAGTACCTTTTTACAAAATCAATAGAAATAGATGAGTGGGGAAAACATTAAAACATTCTTGAAGGAGCTGTAGAGGAGGAAGAAATTTTCCTCTTCATTTTGAAGTTCCTCTGGCTGATCTAAGAATTTAATTGACATTAGAGAGTAACAGAAAATCAAACAAAAATTAACGTGTAAAGTCTGCCTTTTCTCAGAAAATAACCAGCCTAAAACAATATGCCATAGAGACATATTTTAGGATGGCAAATTCTGCTCCCCTACAGAGCCAAAAGGAGACTTTGACAAATGGATAGATATGTTCTTGGATAAGAAGACAACACAAAGATGTTTGTTCTCCCTTGGCTAAGGTATGAATTTAATGAGATCAGGTATTTTTTCCCTATAAGACCAGACAAGCTGTTTCTAAAATTTACATGAAAAGTAAAAGAATAGCCACAAACAAATAACTGTATGGGGGTTTTAGCCCCATCAGGTATTGAAATATACTATAGAATTTGAATAATTAAAATATTGTAATAATGGCATGAATAGACCGACAAATAGAATTGAAAAGAAAGTCAGAAATAAATTCAAATACATAGAAGAACATCAAGTCTGTGGAACAAAGATGGACTTTTTAATAAATGGTATTGGGAATAATTTTCAGTTATTTGAAACCAGTTAAAAATTTGAACCCATATCTCATAGCATATGCCTTGATATACTACTGTCAACTGAAAAAAAATGCACAACTAAAAGTTGAGGATTATGCTTTATTTAGGGACATTATGAGGATTTAATCCTGGGATACGTCCTCTCAAAGATAAGGGAGGAGTCAGGATATATAGGAGTTTTTGCAAAAAAAAAAAAAAGGTAGTCGAACTTCAAAATATCAATATTACTGCTAATTAAGGAAAAACCAGACATCCAAAGTTAATGAATTTAGCATTTTTCTGTGTATGAGAAAATGCAAGAGTCTGGGCTTATTTAAATTCTTTCCTTGACATGCACGTTAACTGTCTATGGCCAGTATCCTGTTTTCTCTCCATCCTGAACCCCCTCAGGGTGTGCTGTGTGGGTGAGGGGAAGCTGCTGCAGTGGCTGAAGGTTGAATGACTGTAACATCCTTTGTTTACATTCTTTTTTTTTGAATTTTATTTTTTTTATACAGCAGGTTCTTATTATCCATTTTATACATGTTAGTGTATATATGTCAATCCCAATCTCCCAATTCATCCCACCCCCCCACCCTCCCCGCCACTTTCCCCCCTTGGTGTCCCTACGCTTGATCTCTACATCTGTGTCTCTGTTTCTGCCCTGCAAACTGGTTCATCTGTACCATTTTTCTAGGTTCCACATATATGCGTTAATAAACAATATTTGTTTTTCTCTTTCTGACTTACTTCATTCTGTCTGACAGTCCCTAAATCCATCCATGTCTCAACAAATGACCCAATTTCGTTCCTTTTTATGGCTGAGTAATACTCCGTTGTATATATGTACCACATCTTCTTTATCCATTTGTCTGTTGATGGGCATTTACGTTGCTTCCATGACCTGGCTATTGTAAATAGTGCTGCAATGAACATTGGGGTGCATGTGTCTTTTTGAATTATGGTTTTCTCTGGGTATATGCCCAGTAGTGGGATGGCTGGGTCATATGGTAATTCTATTTTTAGTTTTTTAAGGAACCTCCATACTGTTCTGCATAGTGGCTGTATCAATTTACATTCCCACCAACAGTGCAAGAAGGTTCCCTTTTCTCCACACCCTCTCCAGAATTTGTTGCTTGTAGATTTTCTGATGATGCCCAAT